ATTTGTTTTTTTTTTAGGAAAGTGACATATCAAAGTTTTGGGTTGTCTTTAAATACGAGGGTCATTCAAAAAGTTCGTAGACTTTTGTCCTAACTTTTTTATTTAACGTCATATTATATCCAAATTTGGTACAAATATTTTAACAACAGATTCAAATAATTTGAGTAAAAAAATGGAATGTATCCTCATATTTATTAAAATTACCAAGGATTTAAAACAGCAAAAATGGGGTCACGGAGCACCGTCAAAATTGAGTAATTTTCTAATTTTCACTTAATAGTATTTACAGCTATACCTCTAATAAATGAATCTGAAACGAAATAAAATTTACATGTTTAAATAAAGTATTGCTGTATTAATTAAAATGAAATCAGGTTATGTAATATCTCGTTCCATTTAAAAGATATCAGCTTTCAAATACATATGGACTTGATTAAAAAAGGCAAAAAACCATGACGTTGGTGGACGTCACGGAGCAGCAAGTAGCAATAAAATTAGACTTTACATTTAGGAAACTTTTTCTACAAGGTTAAAAAATCCTTATAAATCAGGATCTGTATAAAAAAAAATCTGTGTATTTGTATTAAATTGAAAATACAATTTTTGAGTGGTAGCGAGCTTGAATCGGACGATGGATTGTCTGCAAAGAAACAGGTTAAAGTTAAAAATATTGTCAAAAGAGTTAGGAACGTCATTGAACGTGATGTGTGCTTCAATGTTGTAGAAATAATAAAGTTGCATGGTAAATCAAAGAATTTGAAAACAATAACATTCTAATTCAAGCTATATTTTACAATTATTGTAAGCATACCAGGTGTTAAGTATTGTGGATATGTATTTTCAATGGAGAAGACGCAACAAACCGTGTTTGAAATAACAAAAATGTGTATACTTTTGACAAACTTTCTCAGCGTTGTTTTTGACGTTACAATATTGGTTAACCGTGCTCCGTGGTAACAAAACATGTTGCTTTTAATTTTGGCTAACGTGAGTTCTGTTTAATCAAATGGAATGAAACTTCACACTTCGACAAAATAAATGTTTATGTTTACGAAAATGTGTTGATCTATAATCTTGTAATAATCATATGACGATGAGAAGCATTGTCTACGTATTTTTTGAATGACCCTCGTATAAATTTAAAACGACTTACACACGAAATTATGCTTTAAAATAGCATTGACTGACATTCCTAATTTCTTTAAACATTACTTTATGAAATTTACAACTAAATCTTTACATATCAATAAAATCAGACATTCATTGTTTTCTAAAGAGAAACATGTAATACCTCAGAACCAAAAAAAAAAAAGATATAAGAGGAGAATCGTTTTGCCATGTGTCATTAATATTAATGATTGTCTCTTTAGATAAAGTATGACTTTCAAGTACAATAGTAGGTAATAAATTTATACCCTGAAATTTTTTTTTAAATCCATAATCAAATTACTTCAGTCTAATCAACAATGCTAAAAAGCAATAATAAAATGCTAATTATTTAAATGGCAAATTTCTTTTTTGCATTTTTTTCTTTGGCAATTCTCTTTGGCTGTGTCCTCCCTTTTGGACAAATAGGACGTGATGGTGTGACCTCCACTCTCACATCTTCCACTTCATTTTGATGGGTGGGGGTCACCTGCACTCCTGCATCTTCGACTTCAATAGTTGAAGAGGGTGAATCTGTTACAGAAGGGATTATGGGGCTTGTGGACTGGCTTTTGACTTCATGTCTAGAACGTCTATTTACACATTTCTTGTAAGCAATGATGATGATGGCAAAGATTATTATTAAAGTTGGTGAGATACTATGCATAATGATATCTGAAATTTGAAAAAATATCAAATTAAGATCTCTTCCTAACCTTACATGATTGCACCATTATCAAGATTCAATTAAGCAATTATTAATATTGTAATTAGATACCAGGTACATCTTTTGATTTTGGCATTAAGTACATACAAAATAGTAATTAAATCATTCTTTCCAAGATTATTTTTTTATTTATTTAGATTTTCATCTACACAACATATTCAATTAAAAAAAAAAAACATTACTCTTAATTTTCAGAAATTTATTCCCCCTGACCAATGAGCACTCATTTATTTGAACCCTGTGTAAAATAATTTTAAAATTACCATCTTTGGTTGATAATAATTTACTCAATCCCCCGGGAACTTTCGTAGACAAAACTGCATCTGAAATTTTATATCAGAAATATACAACTTAATAAATTGAGTAATTCATGTTTAAATAAGATGTAAGATTTAATCTTCTTATACAAATGACTAACACTTGTAAATTTATGTTTTCTTAAATGTATGATATATACTATTTCAAACCAAATAAATGTAAATTATACATAATGTACGAGGGTTGTCCGGAAAGTTCGTGGACAACATTGATAATTACTTACAAATATTGACAAAATATATGAAACTATTATTTTCATTAAATTCATGTTTCATTTTATTAACATGCAAGTTTTCAACAAAAACAGAGCACAAATAGTTATATTTTTATCAGATTAAAAAAGACACACACTCATACCCGGAGCACTAAAATGAAAATTCGTGACGTCACACGACGTCAAAAGCATAATACGAGTTCATGTAACTTTTCCCTGTCTCATATCCTGCAAGCGTTCGATCTCTGTCCTCGTAAAAACTATTTTATTTTTCACAGAAATACAGTAAAGTCATGTTACGAAAATCATTTTTTACAGCGCTGCAATCTCGGAGTGGTGGTTTTTCTTCACGCATATCATCCTGTAAACTGTTCTTTCCGTCCGAAAATATTATATATCAACTATATAATAATGTATGGCTTCTTTTACTATGTTTTCCCGATTGTTTATAAAATGCATTGGTCTTTGTAGTTGTTTTATCCGATGTCTACGCAGAATTTTATCACTGCTTACTGCTCCACCTTTTCCGAAAACGTCCCTTTTTTAACAATTTCCGATCCGTCTTAAAATGTTTTAACTTTGATTGTTCAGCCATTTTACAACTTTGAATTTTCAAATTTTGCAGGTTTGAAGTGATAACTTCTGTCAACTTCATAATGTAAAAGTCATCCAGATTTCTGCAGAATTTTATAAAATGGAAATGAAATTTATAACGTGATAAATAATTTTTTTATCGAAATTTTGCGGTGCTCCGGGTCTCAATACCAAGTCTGATTATGAGGTCATAATTGTAATTAAACATTTGAAATTGAATCCGATTTTACATTTCTCAGTTCACATTTAGTAAAGAATTAGAAATATGCTAATAATAAATATCAATGACGCAACATTTATTTAATTCTAAGACTGTCCACGAACTTTACGGACAACCCTCGTAAATATTTATATGAACATAGCATTTTATTTAAAAGTAATCACCATTAATGGGAAACTTCTGGGTAGTTGATGTTGAAGTTTCCGTTGCATCTGTGGTCTTGGTTGGTACGGTAACCGTAGTCTTGTCTACAACATAATGAATAGCTTGTTACACATTTCTGTTTCGGAAAAAATTAGAAAATATCTTATTTTAAGTCTAAGCACAGGTGCTTACAAAATTTTCTAAATAATCAGAAAAGGTTTAAAATGTTTTTTTTTAATTGCATTTCATTTAAAGTAATCACCAGTAATGAGAAACTTCTTGGTAGTTGATGTTGAAGTTTCCGCTGCATCTGTGGTCTTGGTTGGTATGGTAACCGTAGTCTTGTCTACAACATAATGAATAGCTTGTTACATATTTCTATTTTGGAAATATTTGAAAATGTTTTTTTAGTTAGGCACAGGAGTTTACCAAATTCCTTCAATAATCCGAAAAGGTTAAAGTGTGTTTTTTGTGACATACCATAAATTAATGCTTCGAAAACTAAGTTAAATCAGTCATCAGGGGGGATGAGGTTATGAACAAAAAACAAAATAATTATAATTCTTAAGAATTGCTATGAAAATAAAAACTTACCACAGTTGGCTATGAATGGTGTTTTTAATATTGGCTTATCGACATGTGGGTGGAAAACCTTGACTTCACAATTTGCAACTAGAAAGGTTTTGGCCTGCCCCCTGACAAACACGCACATTGAGGGGGCCGCCGCGAGGCAGTTGGCGAAATGCATGTTAGTGAATTCCTTACATGGCGTACATGGTATGCATACAGTCTGGGGTGTATAGGCCAAGATCATAGAATACGTTAGGATTAGAATAATCCTCATTGCTGCCGCGTACTCAACAGTCAACCGCGCCTTTTAAAAACGAGCTCTGCCTCGATTTGAAATTAGGTATTGTAAAGCACGAATCCAAGTTTAGTCTCTCTATTTCCGGACAGTTTCAGTTTTTTTAATTGACACTTTTGGACGTCATGAAACTTTTATTTTTTATGTGTGAATGGAAAATGTTTCAGAAGAAAAAAAATGAACGAATTTTTACGCAGCACATAAATGAATGCAATAATAATTCTATAATCTTCAAAAGAGGTCATGAAATGTGCACACTTTTTTTTTTTTTTTTACTCATAATAACCACAAAGATCAAAAACAAAATAAACCTTTCTTGTAAATAATGTTTTCACAAGATCTATAGGGTGCACAAAATATATGTTGTATTTGACGACCATTGTTTTCAGTGACACAAATTAAGAACAAACTTCTAACGTCATACAATAATGTGCTTTCCTCAGCATCAGTTCGACAGAACAAAAGATTCAGTTGTTATTCAAACATGATAACTATTGTTCAGTGACACACATTTTTCAATGCAGAAACCAGGGAAAATCAGTACTCCTAAAGGGATCTTAAGTGATGAAGATGAAGAAGAGAGCGGATTTCAGGATGCTTCTTCTTCCTTTTTAACCCCTATTAGTCGACCTGCAGAAAAGAGATCAAGAGTGCTTAAAACATTCACACCCAGACTCAGTCCCTTTAGAGCAATTAAAAAGCAGTTAAAAAACCAAGAAGAAAAGAAGAAATTACAACAAATCAACGAAGATTGGCTTTCATTGCCTAAAAAATGAAGAAGAAGAAAGTAGAAGACATTTTAAAAGAGATTTATTACAATCCCAAGAGAGGGTACGGGGGGATACAAGCTTTGTATCGTCAGGTCAGAAGTCTGGGACATAAGATTTCCTTGAAAAAGATACGAGAATGGTTAAAGGAGCAGGATACCTATACCTTACATAAACCCATTCACAGAAAATTTCGGAGACAGCAGACCAGAGTGACAGATATAGACGAACAATGGCAATTAGATTTAGCCGATGTGTCCAGTTTAAAGAAACACAATGACGACTATACGTTTTTATTGTGTGCCATTGACGTCTTATCTAAATATGCTTGGGTGGTGCCTTTAAAACAGAAAACGGGAAATGAAATGATTCGAGGATTACAAGAGATTTTTCAACAAGACGGTCGACGCCCCGTCCGCATTCAATCGGATCAAGGCAAAGAATATACCAATCAAGAATTCTTACAGGCTTTTAAATCCATTCATTTCTTTACCACTCGCAATACGGACACCAAAACCAGTATCGTGGAACGATTTCAGAGAACTCTCAAAGCACGCATGTGGCGCTATTTCACCCGTCATAAAACCAGGCGGTAATTAGAGGTCTTACCGGACTTAGTGTATGCTTACAATCATACTTTCCATCGCAGTATCCAAAGAGCTCCAGCTCAGGTGAAGCCTTCCAATGTGTTAAAAGTCTGGAAAACTTTATATGGGCAATCTCAAAAATCCCTTAGAAAACCCAAATTTAAAACGGGAGATCAGGTGCGCATCAGTAAAGCCAAACGCACTTTTGAAAAAGGATATTTACCCAACTGGACTACAGAACTCTTTACCATTTCTCAAAGAGTCCCCGGTCGTTACCCTTACGTGTATCGGGTACAAGATTACAACGGTGAGGAATTAGAAGGCACTTTTTACGAGAAAGAATTACAACAGATCATTAAAAAAGACGATGTTCACGAAGTGGAGGAAATCTTGGGGTATAAAAAGCGACGCATAGGGAAGAAAATCATTCAAGAAGTTAAAATCCGGTGGAAAGGATATCCCCTTAGTTTCGATTCATGGATTCCTCAAACGGATCTCATCCAGTAACACCTCATTGGAAATTTTGTGGAGAAAATATTCCTCGAGAAGAAATTGAGTATTTTGCACAATTATACATTTGTATTTCCCTCATCATCACGAGTGTGGTCATGTTAGCTTTACACGATCCTAATCGAGAATATTGGATGGTCTGTGTCAGTTCTTCAGTAGGTTACATCATGCCTAGTCCTACCATGATGCATCATACACCTACGACCAAGAAGACAAATTCACCAAGTTGATTCGGGAATCAAAAAATAAATAAAGAAAACGAGAGTATATTGTAAGACTATGTCAGTGAAACCGAATATTTGTACATGAGCAGATTGTTTCCTATACCAAAAGAATGAAAGAAAAAGTGAGCTAGCTCACATACCCCACGCTCCCCCATAACTTGACCGTGAAACACATAATGAAAGGCACAGTGCACTTTAAATACATAGTATAGATCAAAAAGGGCAATAATTGCAAAAAATCTTCTCATCAAAATGTCTTGCATATGAGGACATTTAATTGTGGAATGAAGTTTCTAGATAAATAATGGAATCAAAATTTCTTGACAACATACAAATCCACACATTAATTTGAAGTGGGGAGAAATTTTCTTGAATAATAGTCAAAACTATTTGGGATATGGAATATGTTCTAAATATCAGCATAGGTTGACAAAACTATGTAAAACAGTATAAGAGGATTGGTGCTGACAAACTGTTCATCTCTATATTTAAAATATGGCCAAAAAGTCTAAGTTGGAAAGTAAGGAAATTCCCAGAAAAATAAAGGAATCGGAATTTCCTGGTAATATGCATATAAACACATTGTTTTCTAAATGCCTGCAAAGTTTGACGAAATTCTGTGCAGCGGTTTATGAGGAGTTGCGCTGACAAACTGTTCATCTCTATATTCAAGGTATGGCCAAATGCCTAAGTTAAAAGTGCGGAAATTCCCGGGAAAAATAATGGAATCAGAATTTCCTGGTAATATGCATATCTACACATTGTGTCCTAAATACCTGCAAAGTTTGACGAAATTCTGTGCAGCAGTTTATGAGGAGTTGCGCTGACAAACTGTTCATTTCTATATTCAAGGTATGGCAAAATGCCTTATTTAAAAGTGCGGAAATTCCCAGAAAAAATAATGGAATCGGAATTTCCTGGTAATCTGCACATCTACACATTGTGTCCTAAATACCTGCAAAGTTTGACGAAATTCTGTGCAGCGGTTTATGAGGAGTTGCGCTGACAAAATGAAAGAAAAAGTGAGCTAGCTCACATACCCCACGCTCCCCCATAACTTGACGGTAAAACACATTTAATGAAAGGCACAGTGCACTTTAAATACATAGTTTAGATCACAAAGGGCAATAATTGCAAAAAATCTTCACATCAAAATGTCTTGCATATGAGGACATTTAAATGTGGAATGAAGTTTCTAGATAAATTATGGAATCAAAATTTCTTGACAATATACAAATCCACACATTAATTTGAAGTAGGGGGGGGGGGTGTGAGAAATTTTCTTGAATAATAGGCAAAACTCTTTGGGATAATATAATGGAATATGTCCTAAATATCAGCATAGGTTAACGGAACTATGTACAACAGTTTAAGAGGAGTGGTGCTAACAAACTGTTCATCTCTATATTCAAAATATGGCAAAAAAATCTAAGTTGAAAAGTGGAAATTCCCGGAAAAATAAAGGAATTGGAATTTCCTGGTAATATGCACATCTACATATTGTGTCCTAAATACCTGCAAAGTTTGACGAAATTCTGTGCAGCGGTTTATGAGGAGTTGCGCTGACAAACTGTTCATCTCTATATTCAAGGTATGGCCAAATGCCTAAGTTAAAAGTGCGGAAATTCCCGGAAAAAATAATGGAATCGGAATGTCCTGGTAATATGCACATCTACACATGGTGTCCTAAATACCTGCAAAAGTTGACGAAATTCTGTGCAGCGGTTTATGAGGAGTTGCGCTGACAAACTGTTCATCTCTATATTCAAGGTATGGCCAAATGCCTAAGTTTAAAGTGCGGAAATTCCCGGAAAAAATAATGGAATCGGAATGTCCTGGTAATATGCACATCTACACATGGTGTCCTAAATACCTGCAAAGTTTGACGAAATTCTGTGCAGCGGTTTATGAGGAGTTGCGCTGACAAACTGTTCATCTCTATATTCAAGGTATGGCCAAATGCCTAAGTTTAAAGTGCGGAAATTCCCGGAAAAAATAATGGAATCGGAATTTCCTGGTAATATGCACATCTACACATGGTGTCCTAAATACCTGCAAAGGTTGACGAAATTCTGTGCAGCGGTTTATGAGCTGACAAACTGTTCATCTCTATATTCAAGGTATGGCCAAATGCCTAAGTTAAAAGTGCGGAAATTCCCGGAAAAAATAATGGAATCGGAATGTCCTGGTAATATGCACATCTACACATGGTGTCCTAAATACCTGCAAAGTTTGACGAAATTCTGTGCAGCGGTTTATGAGGAGTTGCGCTGACAAACTGTTCATCTCTATATTCAAGGTATGGCCAAATGCCTAAGTTTAAAGTGCGGAAATTCCCGGAAAAAATAATGGAATCGGAATTTCCTGGTAATATGCACATCTACACATGGTGTCCTAAATACCTGCAAAGGTTGACGAAATTCTGTGCAGCGGTTTATGAGGAGTTGCGCTGACAAACTGTTCATCTCTATATTCAAGGTATGGCCAAATGCCTAAGTTAAAAGTGCGGAAATTCCCGGAAAAAATAATGGAATCGGAATGTCCTGGTAATATGCACATCTACACATGGTGTCCTAAATACCTGCAATGTATGACGAAATTCTGTGCACCGGTAAATGAGGAGTAGCGCTGACACACTGTTCATCTCTATATTCAAGGTATGGCCAAATGCTAAGTTAAAAGTGCGGAAATTCAAAAAATAATGGAATCGGTATGTCCTGGTAATATGCACATCTACACATGGTGTCCTAAATACCTGCAAAGGTTGACGAAATTCTGTGCAGCGGTTTATGAGGAGTTGCGCTGACAAACTGTTCATCTCTATATTCAAGGTATGGCCAAATGCCTAAGTTAAAAGTGCGGAAATTCCCGGAAAAAATAATGGAATCGGAATGTCCTGGTAATATGCACATCTACACATGGTGTCCTAAATACCTGCAAAGTTTGACGAAATTCTGTGCAGCGGTTTATGAGGAGTTGCGCTGACAAAAAAAGAGGACTGACTGACTGACTGACGGACCAGTCAAAAACATTATACCTCCCGCAACTAGTTGCGTGGGGTATAAAAAGAGGACTGACTGACGGACTGACTGACTGACTGACGGACCAGTCAAAAACATTATACCTCCCGCAACTAGTTGCGTGGGGTATAAAAATGAACTGCACCAATGTTTTGAATATGATGAAAATGTTGTTGTTGTTGTTGTTGTTGTTGTTGTTTATATGAATAAAACCTTAGAGAGAGAAAAAAAAATCTTGTGTTGTTTTTTTCGAGATGCTAAAAATAGCCATCATCAGCTACATATATAAATCTTTGCTTTGAGGTCACTGTGCTCATTTTAGCAATCATGACTTACGTGTGGAGAATGTATTATTTTATTGAACAAGAACGTAGTAGATGTCCTCATTGTCGTAACCAGTTGACAGAGGTCAGCAGAATACCTGTGTATGACAGTGACGATGAAGTTATTGATGTCTGAATGTGGAGAACGCAATACCACCTGGACAATAGACTACCCCCCTAGTTTGGAGCGTTGTCACTGTGATTGGGCGCCTGAAATATTTCCTGTGGAAATATGGTATTGATTATATGATACCACCTTGGGCCAAGCTCATGAGAAGAAATACCAAGATCGAGAGGTGCCCCTCCTGTTGGGAAGACAACACCCAAGGAAATGGAAATGTCAGTAGTGCATGAAATATCCCTGCTGTGAAAAGTGCTACAAGTCCATTATAAGGCTTTCTTACATAAGTTGTCCTTTGTGTCGTTTTGAACAATAAAAAAAACTGTAAACACAGAAACAAGTCTTGTTCGTTTTTTTTTTAAAAAA